GTATAAGTATCCTTTGGACGAGTCCATCTTGTGTACGAGGGGCGAGCCCCACAATAATTTTGTTTCTCATATTCTGTAACACTTAGTGACTCCTTGCATCTTAGTATCTTTATTGCCTTTTGTGAGGTGAAACGAAAAAAAAATCCTCGATTTTAGGTCAGCTTCCTACCATTATTTTTTTTTCTTACACATACCGAACGACATTTCTACAGCTCGCTCCATTATGATCCTCCACGCAGCGACACGACGAAGATAATTTTTATGATCGCCTCATCTATTTTTTATATTTATCCTTTCTCTATCTGTGGTATATTAGAGATTTTCGTTGTTGTAAACATTGTCTGGCTTTCTCACAGGACAGCTATGTTATGACAAGACGTCTTCAGAAGTGATAAAAAATAGATTCACATTTTATATCTGGGAAGAATCTAAGTCTTGTCTAGTTTTCTGCTTGCTTTAAATGCGTGTAGTTTTATTTTCCCGGCGACATCACGTTTATTTATATACTGTCGCAAATAAAAGCGTGTTCAGATCATCTTGAAATTTCGGAAACTGATTTCAGTATACCATCAGGGTAGAGGAAGCAGGAAAGAAAGTGTCAAAGACAAATATACGAAAGAGCACACATATGTACACGCCTATATATATATATATATATATATATATATATATATATATATATATATATATATATATATATACTTATGACAGATAATATAATTGCGACATAAACTGAATGGACTTAATGGTAACGGCAATATTAGCCGTTTCTCTGCAAGAAATCATTACTATTCACGGTATTCATTGACCGAGTATCCAGTACTTCTGCCGGTTGAAATTTATAAAATCGTTTTCTTAAAATAAACTCTTTCAGAAAAATAGGTACCTTAAGTCCAGTAGCTGTTATTGTTCTTCCCAGAATAGGTGGGTGTTTCCTTCCTAATCTTATGTTTGAAGTAATGTGGAATGTCAACATCTTGATTATGTTATTATTTTCTCTGAGAGTTACATGTGATATCCATTTCTATTGAAACAATTTGAGGAAAATATGTTTCTCAAGTGCAGTAACTGTTATTGCTCTTTCGAGTGTTGATGGAGGCTTCCTTCCTAACCTTATGTTTGAAGTAGTGTGGAATGTCAACATCTTCATTATGTTAATATTTTCTCTAAGAGTTACATGTGATATCTATTTCTTCTATTAAGACAATTTGAGTAAAATAGGTTTCTCAAGTGCAGTAACTGTTATTGCTCTTTAGAGTGTTGATGGAGGTTTCCTTTCTAACCTTATGCTTAAAGTAGTGTGGAATGTCAACATCTTATGTCATTATTTTTTCTTCGAGTTAAATGTGCTATCCATTTTAGTTGTAGCTGCTGTTGGTAGTCCTCAAGTGATGTGGTTTTTGATATTTGGTACATTTCTTTGTCTATGATTCCGTAGTGCTAGTCCAAATGTGTTATCCTCTGTTATGTTGTGACAATCAGGTATTCAACATTATAATCTTCTTTGTTCTCTAACTATTAGGGTAATAGTAATATTAGTCGTTTACCTACAAGGAAACATTTGTCATTCACTGATCAAGCAAACAGTATTGCTTCGGATGAAACTTATAAAATCTTTGTCTTGAAAACATTCATTAGGAAATCAGTTTACACAAGACCAGTAGCTGTTATTGCTCTTTTACAGTATTGATGGAGGTTTCCTTCCTAGCTTGTTATTTGAAGTAGTGTGTAATGTCAGAATCTTGATTATATCATATAATTTCTCTGTCAGTAAAATGTGCTATCCATTTTAGTTGTTGCGGCTGTTGGTAGTTCTCCAGGGATGTGTTTTTTCTATTTGGCACAGTGCTTTATTTCAGAAGCAATGATATACAGAAGGTCACACAAACGCACACACATACACGCACACACACAAACAAACACACACAAACAAACACAAACATACGCACACATATATATATATAATGCGCACTCACACACAAACATAAATACACAAACAAGCACATATATATATATATATATATATATATATATATATATATATATATATATATAATGCACACTCACTACACACAAACACACAAAAACTTATATATATATATATATATATATATATATATATATATATATATATATTAGTAGGGAGAATATTTTTTCTGAATTTGAAGTATTTTATGCTCAACTCTCGAAGCTTCAACCGGTGTCTGATAATAAATCCAGTGACTTTCGAGCTAAATTGAATGATTTGGCTCATTCTTATACTAGTTCTCCTATTTCTTTCTCTGAATCGAAATGGAGAATTGAACACCATAAGGTTATTAGATCCCTTAAGTATAACCATTCTTTGGTTATTACGAAACCGGATAAGTGATCGGGTGTCGTCCTCATGGACCGCCATGACTACATTAACAAAATGTTAAGTATATTGAATGACCCTTCCATGTTTCAACGTCTTGGTTCCATTGACACTCATGATTCTACATTGACTTCTGAAATTCGATTTCAGAAACGTCTTGTCAAATGGGTAAAAAGTGGTATTCTTTCTTCTAAAATGGCGGAGGAATTGAGACCGTCTGGTTCTATTCGTCCCCGTCTATATGGATTACCTAAGATTCATAGAAAGGGTGTCCCGTTGAGACCCATATTATCGATGATTGGGTCTTCACAGCATAAAGTCGCAAAGTGGCTTGCTATAATGTTGCAACCAGTGTTGCAGCATTACAGTTCCTTTTGTATTAAAGATTCATTTTCTTTTTCCAAATACATTCGGAATTGTGATGCCACTAATGGATTTATGTGTTCCTTTGACATCTGTAGCCTCTTCACTTGTGTTCCTTTATCGGAGACTATTGATATTTGCAGCGATATGTTATATCGTAGCGATTTGACTCCTCCGAATATACCTGAAGAAGTGTTCGTTGAACTCATGAAATTTGCCACTATGTTTGTCGATTTTAGTTTCGACAATATCATGTATCGTCAGATCGATGGTGTAGCGATGGGTTCCCCTTTGGGTCCTGTGTTGGCAAATATTTTTGTGGGTTTTATGAAGAAAGCCCTTTTGTTAAGTTCTGCCCGACCCAAGGTTTACTTTCGGTATGTTGATGACACTTTCTGTGTGTTCAGCCATGAATCGGAAGTGGATCAATTTTTCCCTACTCAATGGTGTTCATCCTGCCCTTAAATTTACAGTAGATAAGGAGGTCAATGGTTCATTGCCCTTTTAGATGTTCTTGTTCAAAGAACTCCTTCCTTTGTTTATTACCTCTGTGTACAGGAAGTCTACTTTTACAGGACTATATACTCGTTGGGACTCTTTTTGTACTAAACAACAAAAGATTAATTTGATTAGGACCCTGACACATAGGGCGTTAATGATCTGTTCGGATGACACCTTGAAACATGAAATCAGTTGTTTAACTGAGATCTTTGTGAACAATGGTTATCCGTTGAACATTGTTCAATCGGTTATTCGAGATGAGACTGCCAGGTTCAACAAAATCAAACCTGCTTCAGTAGGTAAATGTCCGGTCTATCTTCGTTTACCGTGGTTGGGTAGGATTAGTGAATCCTTCGCCAAGCGTATTTCATGTAGTTCACGTGAGTGTTATTTTGCAGCGAACGTTCGTGTTGTCTATGTGTAAAGATGTTCTACCCCCCCCCACCATATTAACTCTGTTATTTACTATTTCAAATGTAGTTGTGGATGCGACTACATAGGTAGAACGACACAGCGGTTGGACGTGAGAATTAAACAGCATGTACCTGCGATAATACTAAACAAAAAATTTTCTTTGGGCGATACCATTCGTAACACGTATGGGTCTTCGATTGCGGATCATTTTATAAAGAATCCAACTTGTGCGATTGATTTCAGTGTGAACTGGTTTTCCGTCTTGGCCAGTTCGCACTCACTTTTCCATCTTAAGGTGTTGGAGTCGCTTTACATCAGGTCCAGGCAACCTGCTCTTTGCAAACAAAGAGATTGTTTGCTTGGACTTGCTGTTCTGCGCTTCTAGCAGCTTGGTTGGTATAATTTTATTTATTTTTTTTTTGTTTTCCTTCCTTCCCTGTCCATTCATTCATGTCACCCATGACAGACTTTTTTCTTTTCCTCATAATCTAAATTCCCCGTTAACAGTTCTGACGAGAGGGGACGAAACCGGTCGACTGTTTGTGTTTTATTTTAAACTCATCATGGCCTACAATACAACATTTCTTGTTTTTAATGCCTTAATATATATATATATATATATTTGAATGAAACGCCACTGTCATGTTCACAACGTTGGCCTCTTTGAAACGACAGTATTCTGATGTTTGATCATTGATATACAAATTTCAGTTACATTCGAATCATACCAGCCAATATATATATATATATATATATATATATATATATATATATATATATATATATATATATATATAATGCCTAATTTTAATTTTAATTTAATAGTAGTCAGACTGATGAGATGAAATAAATTATACTGTACGGAATAAATTATTTATTTAATGTAATTTGAAATAGATATGTGTTCTTTGAAAAAAGAGAATACATGTCATTAAGGATTTTTTAGACTATTTATAAAATTAAAGCAAGAAATACATTGCCTGTTAAGTATGTCTCCAGCTCCGACAGGGTTTAGCTCCACATTGCCAGGCAAGCTATGTTAATTTTATTTCGTTCTATTTTTTTTTACTTAATTTCTATGTATTTTTTTCTTTCTTCTTTCTTTCTTCATGAACAATATTCACGAAATGTATTTCGGTCAATATTTTTAGGAACAGAGTTAAACAATTAATTTTATATCCAGTTGAAGTTAAGAATGAAAACAACGCACTTGTAGTTGTTGCTTTGCAATAGATATACTTGCAGGTTGACTAACTCGATCTAATTCTGACAAGTCCAACTCCGGATTAACCACTGATATATATATATATATATATATATATATATATATATATATATATATATATATATATATTTATTTATTTATTTAGAGAGAGAGATAGATAGATAGATAGATAGATAGATAGATAGATAGATAGATAGATAGATGATTTGTTTGAATAATCTGTCTATTTTTATTTTAATCCTCTCAAATTCACGGATTAATTTATTAGATTTATTTAATTATTCAACCAAACATGCCTGGTTGAAGACAAGCAGCCGAAATATACACATAAACACACGCGCACACACACACACATTCATATATATATATATATATATATATATATATATATATATATATATATAAAATATCAGTTGATGATTAGTAGGGATAATCCCAAGCAGGATATAAATCAATGTAAGAACAGAGCAATATAATAATGAACGCAGAATGCAAAAGAATCCATTCGGTCAGGTGATAATTTATTTCGTGGACTGCAGACGTGCATCTCTTCAGACCTGTTTTACAAAAATAAATGGAGTTCAATTTATTCAGACACACAGAAAAGAAAAAAAAAAGAAAAACAGGGGAGAGTGAAAAGATAAAAGAAAGAAAAAATATTTAAAGGAAAAAAAATGGAAGAAAGACAAATATTTCAATAAAAGGTTTTTCAGGAGTAAGAGAAAGAGAGATAGACATGGGAAGGGGAAAATGAAAGATAGCGAAAGAGGGAAAGAAAGGAATTAAGCAAATCGACAAGGTGACCCAGAAAATATTTTTTTTCTTCCGGGTGTTGACAAATTAAAAAATAGGGTGGGAGGAAAGCAGGGATCATATTCGAAATAGATACATTGATATTGATATTGTCTAGTCATTTGAAGTAGCGAAACAATTATCATCGTATGATAACGGTCATAATAAATTGGACTCCATTTATTTTTGCAAAACTGGTCGGTGGATAACGGCTCGAAAGAGAGCCGAGTTCGCATTGCAGTCAAATCCATTACATTCGCTTACGTGCTAATACTCTTGGGAAAGGTATGAATTCTCTCTTCTCCCGCCAAAAATCTACCTTGTCAGTCAAGAATAGAAAGATGCATAGTCATATATCGAAAGATCGCCTAAGCGTGTCTCACGCATGACACATAACTATCTGTTCTGTAGAGATGAACGTCTGAATGCCACAAAACAAATTATCACCTGACCAAATAGATTTTGTATTCATTATTATGTATATATGTATATAATACACACACGCACGCACACACACATACATATGCCTATATATATATATATATATATATATATATATATATATGTGTGTGTGTGTGTGTGTGTGTGTGAACATATATGTGTGTGCGCGTGTGCAAGTGTGTGTATTTGTGCAGCAATCCCTTTTTCAGTCATCTTATTTAATTTTTCTTGTGTTCTTATAAATTCTTTTCTTTTCTGGACATAAATTATGTAAGAATTGTATGAATGTTCTGTATGTCCAAGATCTTTCGTCTATCATTTTATCCATTATCAAGGATGATTTCATTTCTATTTTACTGCATATATATATATATATATATATATATATATATATGTGTGTGTGTGTGTGTGTGTGTGTGTGTGTGTGTGTGTGTGTACATATATATATATATATATATATATATATATGTTTGTGTATATATATGTGCGTGTGTGCGTGTACCTGTGTGTGCATGTGTGTGCGTGTGTGTGTAATCCAGTTTCAGCTATGTATACAGCCATCTCAATTCTCAAAAATGTGGTGTGAACTCTATCCGCAACTCATATAGATATGATTCCATCTCTTTCACTTTCCCATTCATAGTTTAGGTAATAGGATGGCTCGATCCTATAGACTTGATTGGCAACTAGTCTACAGTAGAATGTAAAGGCGGTCTACTGTAGGAACCGAAAGAAAGGCATGTCATTCAAGCGTGTGATATTCGCCATTACTGACACGCATTCAACCAGCGAATTTATAACACATTCCTCTCTATGAACGGCAGAAATGGCGAGATCTGCGTAATAAAATCATCCAAAGTTAGGTACCCCTAAAAGACGCCATAAAAGGATCCCTTATATCAGAAATCCACATGTTTTTTTTTGTTTTTTTTTATTTCTGGCCCTATTAACAATGAGGTTTAGAACCTGTAACACCTCAGTTTTGAAATAACTACATTGGAGAAGAGAAAGTTTCACTAACACCTGAAATGTGTCACAATGATTTTCGATTTTTTTTCATGAAATATTGCAAATACCCATTGACAATGACATTCCACCTGTTGAGAAATAAAAAATGTCATTGATTTTTTATTTTAATTATTTTTTTAACAAAATCGTTTGTAAATCTTTTTGATTTTCTTCAATATCATTTTTTTTATACACTGCCTAACAACCACCCACAAACACGGTCATATATATATATATATATATATATATATATATATATATATATATATATATATATATATATATATATATATATATATATATATATATAAAAATTGGCTTAAAAGATAATATTCCATGGTCATAATTTATTCCATTGGAATCAAAAAATCAGGGAATTAAATAGAGATCAAATCATCAGACCTGAAGAAAGAAAAATGAAAACAGTCCTAAAAAACAACTCCGGAAATCAAAAACGAATTTAGAGAAAGAGAAAATTGTGGGAGAGAGGGATGAAGGAAAAAAGAATTCTAGGAGAAAAAACATATAGACTCAGGGAATCAAATATAAATATATGGGGAATATAAAGATTGTCTTATTTAGGGGGAATTTAAAAAAAAAAACAGAAAGAAAGAACGACGGATGAAATGCATAAAGATACATTTCATTTGTGGTGACATACATACATCATAGACATATTACATATAGGATAGGAAATAGGGGGGATAAATAAATATAAGAGGGGGGGAGATAGATGGGATGAAGGAAAAAAAAAAAATTTTACATATTTGCATAGTACTCACATATACAGCTTTGTGGTACATAAATGTATAGACATACACATAATATACATGACATACACATACATATGGACTCCAGGTTAGAATCAAATATAAATATACTTTTTGAAGAAATGAAAATATTTTCAAGATTTGTCTTATTTAGCAAGGACCAAATATTTCTATGTTTAAAACACATACATAATATAGACACAGAGATATAAAAAAACTTAAAAAAAAAACAATGAAACAAAAAAATATAGATATATATATATATATATATATATACATACAAATTAGGCATGTTTACACATACATACACACATTTTAACATACACAGACATAAATCACATAAACGTGCACAAAAGATACATTTATATAATGTATCTTTACCACGAAATGTATGTTTATGCATTAAATATCTCATTCCGTCGCTCATCTCGATTTTTATCTTTGATTATTTTTTCCGCCTTTCTCTCTCTAATCTTTAGTAAATTCCTCCTAAAACCCACCTATTCCAATCACCGGCGGATATATTATGTATCTTTTAGAATTTCTCTGTCCTCCTCCATTTCTTTATTCCTACTCTTTCTCTAAATTCAGTTTCAAAACTTGTGTGTTTTGTAAACATGTTGTTTTGTCCTATATTTATATTTTAATTGTATTATGTTGTGCACGTTTTTTTCTGTTTTCATTTGTAATTGTGTATGTATATGCATGTATATGTGTAGATGTTTATATGATGATTTGGATATATATATATGGAAATATTTTTATTTACGCAAATATTACAATGGAATAAATTACGACCATGAATGTTTATGTATGTAGTATATATATATATATGTGTGTATATGTATGTATATGTCTGTATATGAACATTATGTGTATATATATGTGTTCTACCTGTTTATATCCTTCCTCTTGGAAAAATTTTTCTGAAAATATACATGTATGGAAATTTTTTAGATATATATTTTCATATGTATATATATATGAAAAGTGTGTGTATATGAATATAGATGAATATGTGTATTGTGGATATATATATATATATATATATATATATATATATATATATATATATATATATATATATATATATATATATATATATATATTTATGTGATGTATGTGCATGGTGTACACGTATGTTGGGTGTGTGTGCGGTATGTTTTAAACATAGAAATATTTGGCGGACAATCTTTATATTCACCTTCATATATTATATTTGATTTAGGGAGTACAAAGCCGTAAACAAAATTTTTTTTTTCCTTTCCCATCTCTCTCCCCCATCTCTTCTTCTTTTTTTTTCCCCCCTGATTATCCTAACTTCTAATTGTCTGTGCTATATGTCACCACGGACAGACTGGGTTCTATAGACGTTTTTGATTTTGTTTTTTTCTGATTGGTAGGTCTGGATTTGGATCGTATTTACGATTCCTACGACCATGGAATATTAGCCTTTATTATATGTAACTTCTGGACATTGAGTTCTCTGAAAAATGAAAAATATACATGTATGGAAAATTTTTAGATATATATTTTTCATATGTATATATTTTTATTTTATACTAATAATATATATATATATATATATATATATATATATATATATATATATATATATATATATATATATATATATATATATATATATATATATATATATATATATATAAGGAGGCACAGTGGAGTAATGGATTCTTGGAGTGAGGGGATCGCAAAGCCGAGTTCGAATTCCATTCACTTACGTGCTATAGCAGGACAGTAGACGGGTTCTATAGACTTGATGGTTGGTCCAGAGAAGGACAACTCTGAATTCAAAATCTGCGGAGGTCGGAAACCTTGTGGCATTCAGTGCACCAGGTCTCTGTATTCGTCCCTTCAAAAAACTGTGGATGGTCCCACACGAGGCCTTCACCACTATAATCAAATCTCATGTGCCGGTGTCGGGCTGTCGTTTTCCTGAAACTGATCTGCTTAACCCTCATACGTCGAATTTCGACGGGAGAGTCGACTATATATATATATTTATATATATATATATATATATATATATATATATATATATATATATATATATATATATATTATATATATATATATATATATATATATATATATATGCGTGTGTGTATTGTGTCTTCTATAACAATGCAGAGATTTTCATATTTTTATACAGCGATAAATGCTGTCGATAGCTATTCTTAACTTTCT